CTCCTCTAAAATGACCCGCGAGACCTTTTCTTTTCACTCGGTTTCACTCTGTTGCCATTAGCTATAGCGTGGAAGACTAATGCTGCCTTCAAGACACGTCGGAATGATTGTATTTACGTGACAAGCTCACATGAGCGCCAATATAATGATGGTATTAGTGGATGCTAATTTGGTATCGATCATGAAGTGTGATTGTGAATGTTGATGATACAGTTGAGTTTGATGAAGAATTTTGATAGAGCTGAACCAAAACTGCTTATTTAGCTGGTTTATGACAGATTATATATCCTCTTATTCTTTCTGACAGCATGCTAATGATGAAATTGCACTAGTGCAGCATCCATTGTTTGTTTGTAAGTATTCTCTGGAGTATAGGCTAAGTCACAGTTTTTAATAATCCGAAACGTGAGATTTATATTTCAAAGCGACTAATGCATTTAATGTCAAGCATGCAAAACATGCGCAAAGTGCACATTTGTATTTGTACTGTAAAAAAATGGTGTCTTTTGATTTATAACAACTGCAACTATAATTGTCACAATCTGCTACGGTGCGGGAACACGGAGCAAGGAACGAGGAGACCAAGAGTATAGAAACCAAGGAATTTATTCATCTTCACGGGGAATCACACATAGCACTGTAGACACAAACATTACCGGATCCTGGAGCACACACAGGGAACACTATTTATACACACAGGAGGAGGGGATGACGAGACACACCTGGGAGCAATGAAACATCAAGGGAAACACCTGGGACAAATTAAACATGGGAAAGGAAGGCACATGAGGAAAACAACCACAAAACACGGAACAGAGTCTGACAATAATTTAAGTTTGTTTTAAATGTATATTTTTCATACTTGTTCTGTTTTGAATATCGTTAAATTCAAAGAATTTGTCGTGGAGTGGAGTTTTTAAAATACATGTTTAAGTTTAAAGTTTAGCAAGTTTGCAGTTTCTAAATTTAATAATTAATTGTGACTTTTTTCCTCTGTTTTTTTTCCCTCTCCAAACAATAAACACGTTTATTGTTAACTAAAACTATTAAAACTCATTTTCGTTAATTTGAAAACATAAAAAATAAATATTATATGAAACATGTAAACAAAAATTAGAAATGTTCCCTTGACGACTAATTGAAATAAATAAGTTTAGGTTGAAGTACTAAAATTACTAAAGCTAAAACTGAAATAGAAAAATGAATGAAAGCTAAATAGAAATAGAAAAAAGTCTAATAAAAGAACAAAAGCACATAACAAAATGAGCAAATCCTAACCTACATTTAAAATGAAAACTAAGGATATAAAATAAAAGCTAAATGAAAATATGATTAAATAGTTTCATATAAAACTAAAAAATATTATATTTATATAATATAATAATTCTAGAATATTATATGAATAATACTAAAATAATGACTTATTTTTCAAATATATGGTAAAAAAGACAAAAGAGTAAATATAAAATTATCCAACACATGCAGTTTATTTCTAAATAGAAATGTTAAAAACACCTAAATCTAAAAAAAGACAAAAGCACATAACAAAATTACCAAAATCTAAAGTGAGATTAAACTAAAAACTAAAAATATATAATATAATATAATATAATATAATATAATATAATATAATATAATATAATATAATATAATATAATATAATATAATATAATATAATATAATATAATATAATATAATATAATATAATATAATATAATATAATATAATATAATATAATATAATATAATATAATATAATATAATATAATATAATATAATATAATATAATATAATATAATATAATATAATATAATATAATATAATATAATATAATATAATATAATATAATATAATATAATATAATATAATATAATAATGACTTGTTTTCCAAAAATATGTTGAAAAAGGGTAGAAAAAAAAGAGAATAAGAAATCTATAATTACCCAACACATACACTTTATTTCTGTTAAAATCGTGGTCGTATCATAATCACTATTTCTAAACTCAGGAGAACTTGAAGGCAGCAGCAGGATCAAACGCTGCTTCTGGCTGATCCAGGATTAATTTGTTCTCTCTTACATTTCAACTTAAGCGTGTGATGTTTTGGCTTTGCATCTGACGGATCTCCATCAGAGGAGGTGGAACGGAGCCGGCGTGTGCTCCATCGGCATAGCTGGTTTGAAGAAGGTTTAGTAGTGTCTTCTGAGGCCTGATTTCTGAAGTCTGGATCAAAAAGCAGCGACATACTGCCTCTGCAATCGCGTACAGCAGCGCGGCTCGGGTTCATTCACGGCTCTTTCCTTTTCTGTATTCTGCCTGGAAGATTGAAGCCAGTTCCTGCGATATGAACACACACGTTTACATGAACAGCTCCACTAAGAGTCTCTAGAAGTTTACTTCAGCTGAGATGTTCAGCCATGCATGAAATCCAGCGTACATTGCTCTAAGCATTTGTGTTCATGTTCCAGTGTAGAGATGCTTTGGACTTTTATAACACTTATTTATGAGCATGAAAATAGTCTGTTTATATACTACTAACAGTACTATATTAACTTTGGAACATGCAGACATCAAACACATTTTACAACCAATTGGTGACAATGTAAAAAGCACTGAAGAGTGTCTCAATTCAGTCATTTCGTTTAGGATGCTGCTCATGTAGGCATTAGACAGCAAGGCTGCTCACTAAGTTTTGGAACAGAGAAATGTATTTGTTTAGAGATTTTATTTATGTATTTGTTTATTTAGAAGTGTTATGTATTTAGAAATGTATTCATTAAGAAATTAATTTAGAAATGTATTTATTGACATCCATTTATTTATTTTGAAATGTATTATTTTATTTGTTTTAGGAATGCATTTCTTTAGAGATTTTTTTAATTAATTTGATTATTTAGAAATGTTATTTATTTATTTATGAACTTAGAAATGTATTAATAAGAAATGTATTTAGAATTGTATTTATTGTATTTTTTAATTAAGAATTGTATTTATTTATTATTATTAAAAAAAACAAACAAACAAACAAAATTTTTTTTGAATAAAAAAAAAAAAATTTTTTTGTAAGTATTTATTAGAGTTTCTCAATCTAGTCGTTTCATGTATGGATGCAGCCCATGTATCGTAGGCTCACGAGGTATTGGAACAGAGCCGCAGGTGTTTTGTATTATAGGAAAGCAGTTTGTCAAGCCATAAATCTGTGCCTACTCATGAAAAACAAGCGGCTCAGAGTTCACTGCAGTTTTCTCTCAACTCAATATTGGATCCGGCAGTAAATAGCTCATTTCTAAACAACGCCTGCACTAAATAATTCGCAAGCTGCATGAATTCTTAAAAAGTGGATGAATATAACTGTTCTCTTACTTTGCGGTTTTGTACGAAAAGCAGCGTTCAATAGCAGCCTGACGTTGGGTTATATGAAGTTCTGTTTATTCGGCACTACATCTGCGAGCAGGAGAAAAGAGAAATGCAAGTTCAGAGTTTTGAGAGCATCTTATCCGTCGAACTGTGCCTACGCTTGTGTTTTTCTCTTCTAGCGCCTGCCTTTCAAACCAGACAATCTCGCATTCACACGCTGTTCTGCTGCTCACACTTGTTTGTGTCGGCTCAAGTGTACCTTTACAGTGTTCGGCTTTTATGACTTCAGATGGTCCTTGACGTGAATGTGGCACCATCTGATCCATTCAAATATGTCAGATGTAATATACATCATCATGTATATATATGTATATATATATAAGCGAGACCAAAGCTATATTTCAGTAACTATAGTATTCTGAGTCAAAAGACCAGTTTTACCCATCAGGAATTGATTTGATGGTGAATGATTGAGATATTAGACTACAAAGATTAAAGATTACAGAGGTTGCATGAGTGTATTTATTTAGAATGTCGATATTTATTTGGTTAGAAAAATATTAACTTATTTAGAAATGTATTTATTTATTTAGAAAAGTATTTTCTTTAGCAATTTATTGATTTCAAAATGTATTTACTAAGAGACGTGTACATTTCATTTTTAAAAATAGAAATGTATTTATTTATTTATCTGCTCTGTTTATTTAGAGTATTTTTAGTTTTATTTGCTATATAATGTAGTTTAGTTGTTTAGAAATGTATTTCTGTCTTTGTTTAGAAATGTATGTACAGTATGTTATATTTAGAAATGCATTTATTTAGAAATGTACATAAAATTCAATTTATTGATATATAAATGTTTATTTTAAAAAAGGTACAAATTAAAAAGAACATGTATTCATGTATTCATTTAGAAATTGATTTATTTAGAATATTTTTATTTATGTATTCATTCATTTATTTAAAAAAGTATGTACTTAGAAACATATTTTTTTTCACAATAAGACCAGGAACATGTATTATAGAGTCGGTTTTGTTTTTAATTATATATTACAGGTGAAATGTTGAACTGTGGGGTTGCTTTTTTCAATAATAATTCAATCATTCTTTTCTGATGGACAACACATCGGTGTGATATATTTGTATGTTACTTTCTTCATTTTTGCTTATAAATTGTGTTTTGTATAATTTTTTTACAGTTTAAATTTGACTAAACAGCCATTGGATGTATTTTAAACACAGAACTGTTGTGAAAGATGGATTTTTTACTCCACACGAGCTGTTATATATATTTTACATAAATATCTCTGAATATCTCCTTCCTCCCACCTGAATTTGGAGCATGCGAGGCCTTTGAGTTTTGGAGACTCATTTTCATAATCTCTCTACACAGCAGTGAAACTCATAAGCATCTGACATCTCCGGCAGAAGAGAGTTTAATGATGCAGGCCAAATGCCTTATTTGAGTAATAGGAAAAGGCAAAGGCATTAAACGAGCCGTTCGTCCCGTACGGTTACTCACACGCTTATGTGTGTCTCATCATACGATCCGCTGACACTCTGCGTCTGATTCTGTTTAATGCAGATGGGCATGCATTCAGTGTATAATGTGTGTGTGTGTGTGTGTGTGTGTTTAACGTGCAGGGGGAAGGAGTTCGGTCACGATGTGGACTTCATCATTAAAACAACTGAGGCCGGACAGGAGGACGTGATTCTGCCCGCCGTGATCAAGCGATTCAAAAGCCAGGTACAGAAACACCTTGTGCTGAAAAAGCTTTTATCTGTAGATTGTTTGGCCAAATATTGAAATTAGATTAGATTCAACTTTATTGTCATTATGCAGAGTACACTCACAGAGCTAATGAAATGCAGTTTGCATCTAACCAGAAGTGCAAGAACATAGTGTTTTATAAACAGCTAAATGCAGAGTAAGTGAAGCTATAACTTACAGTATGTACAGTGGAGTTGCTATATGCAATATTAAGCAGATTATGTACATAATATAAAAAGGAGTGCAATGTATGGTTATATGTACAATATGAACAGCAGCAACGTAAGAACAGTGGTAATAAATACAGTTGGTTGTGTTGTTGTTAAACAATGTATAGTCTATGCAAAATATCATAGTTTAGTTTAGACATAGTTTACTGTGCTTTGTACAGTAACAACGTTAGACAGCGTACAGTGTAATAGCTTGAACTTCTGTTTGCATAGTCTGTGCAAAATATGAATAGTGCAAATACATGTTTGTAACATACTGTGACCAATGCAGTAAGAGAGCAGGTGCAGGTTAGATTGGTGGTGTGGAGTTCAGAAGGGTCACAGCCTCGGGGAAGAAGCTCTTCCTGAGCCTACTAGTGCGAGAGTGTAGACTCCTGTAGCGCCTGCCAGATGGAAGGAGGGTAAAAAGTCCATGATTAGGGTGTGAGGCATCCTTGATGATGTTCCTTGCCCTGCCCAGGCAGCGCTTGCGATAAATGTTCTCAGTGGTAGTTAACTGGGTGCCGGTGATCTGTTGAGCAGTTTTCACCACCCGCTGGAGTGCTTTGCGGTCTGATGCGGAGCAATTGCTGTACCACACTGAGATGCGGTTTGTAAGTATGCTCTCAATGGTACAGCGGTAGAAGTCCACAAGGATCCTGGGACTCAAGTGAACTTTCTAAAGGCTCCGTAAGAAGTAAAGGCGCTGCTGTGCCTTTTTGACCAGGTGAGGTCATCAGAGATGTGGATGCCAAGGAACTTGAAACTCGGCACACGCTGCATTACAGCTCCATTGATGTAGATGGGGGTGTGTGCATGACTCCTAGTCCGCCTGAAGTCCACAATGATCTCCTTTGTCTTCTGGTTGTTTAGTTCCAGATTGTTGGTGGCACACCACACAGCCAGGCGCTGCACCTCATCCCTGTAGGCTGACTCATCATCATCTTTGATCAGACCTACCACCGTGGTGTCATCTGCGAATTTGATTATGGTGTTGGAGCCATAAACAGGAACACAGTCATGGGTGAATAAGGAGTACAGAAGAGGGCTCAGTACGCAGCCCTGTGGCACACCGGTGTTCAGGGTGATGATGGAGGAGGAGAGGTTATCTAATTTAACAGACTGGGGTCTGTCAGTCAGAAAATCCAGAGTCCAGTTGCAGAGGGATGTGCTGATTCCAAGCTGGCTGAGCTTGGAGGGGATTACAGTATTAAATGCAGAACTGAAATCAATGAACAGCATTCTCACGTGTGTATTTTGACTGTCCAGGTGGGTGAGGGCAGAGTGAAGTGCCGTAGAGATGGCGTCCTCTGTTGACCTATTGCGGCGATAAGCAAACTGGTATGGGTCTAGTGTAGCAGGGAGACAGGATTTTAGATGGGATACAACCAGCCTCTCAAAGCACTTGGCAATGATGGGGGTGAGTGCGACAGGACGGAAGTCATTAAGGGCCGAGGCAGTGGAGTGCTTTGGTACTGGCACAATGGTGGAGGTTGTGAAACTAGTGGGGACAGTTGCCTGGGCCAGGGACAGATTGAAAATGTCCGTGAAGACCTCAGCCAGCTGCTCCGCACAGGCTTTAAGCACACGACCAGGTATTCCATCAGGGCCAGCTGCCTTCCATGCATTCACCTTACACAGAGTGGAGTAAACATCCAGGGCTTCTGATTGGGGAAAAATGTAATTTTTTTGTGTGTAGTCACTCTGCCCACACACCTGTTGATGTGCTCCAGGACAGAGTTCGTGTAAGTGTCAATGTCTATCTGAGAGTTTGTGGTGGGCTGGGCAGCAAACTCACTCCAGTCTGTGTGCTGGAATTGATGCTGAAGAGTGGAGTCATGTGCGTTTGATGACCGGGGCATACTTGGGGAGCAGGAACAAAGAGAGATGGTCAGACTGACCCAGGTGGGGGAGGGATCAGGCATCTTTGACTTTGTAGGCATCAGTTACATTAGTATATACATGGCCCAATGTTTTATGTCCCCTTGTTTCAGTTTCTCAGTGCATAAAATTAATGATCTTGCATTTCGCTTCAGAAAAGATGATCTACTTTGAAAAATACACTTGTCAGTTTGGAAAGTTATGCTTGGGAAACCTTGATGATGAATCTTTTACAAAGACTTACAATGAAAGTATATATAATATATATACTTTCATTGAAAGTCTTTTTTTAGTTAAAGTTTTAGTAGTTCTTTTCTTGGAATTCTCTTGTAATTTAATTTGCATTGAAAACCTTGATGGTGAATGTTTATGTTTTATAGACTTAAAAAACAAAAGTTTTTATTATTTTATTTGTTTGTTTTATTATATATTTGTATATTTATAATATTTATTGTTTATTTTATAGGTGTGTTAGTAACTCACTTTTTAAATTTTAATTTTAGAGTTATTTTGTTTGAATAGTTTAATAATTTATTTATTTAATTAATTAATTTATTTATTTATTTATGTGTTTGTTTTATTATGTATTAAATATATTGTATATATAATATTTATTTATTTTATGTCTATGTTAGTAACTTTATATTAATAACATTTTTAGTATTTAGTTGTTTTTATTTTAATAGTTAATGGTGTGTGTGTGTGTATAAACGCGCTAGAACGACATGTGGGTGAGTAATTAATGACAGAATTTTTATTTTAGGGTGAAATAACCCTTTAACATATTTACTGACATATCGCTCAAGACTTACTAAAATACAAATTATAATTAAACTTTATTTGGACTACTACTTGTGCACAATGCACATTTCTTAATATTAAGCCTAAAATGTGTTTTAATGTCACTATTGATGAGGATTGTACTATCTTTAAATAATAAAGGTCTTTAAATGCAAGATATATAAAGTGTACCTGAAGTGTACTTCCAATAGCTCCATTTTAGCACAATCAAATACACTTCAGCACTACTTCCACACAATTAAAGTGCATTAAGCACAAAATTAGTTGTTCCAGTTTAGCAGCCTTTAAGGATACCAGTTTAGTACACCAGAAGTAGAATTGCAGGGTATTAAGCACATAAATATGTACATTTATTTGTGTTATACTTATTACATTATATTTTAAATACATTTTAGTATATTTATTTTTCACTAGGTTCATTCATTCATTCATTTTTTCCTTCGTTTTGTACTTTAGTTTGCCGGAAAACCTTGTAGATGTAAAAAATCAATAACAAGTGTATTTTATTTTATTTCATACACTCAAAACATTTGTTTACTTTATATGCATATTAGAATTTATTTAGTATTTTAGTGTCTAATAGTTTTATTTATTTTAATTTTTTTTACATTTTGTCTTGCTATTTAGTTTTGGCAATTAGCATTTTAATGTTTAATTGTTGTTTGGTCACTGTTGAAAATCTATATCTCAGTCAAAGCTAAATATTCCATGTGGGATCATTCAGCTCATTTCCGACACATGCTTAGAGGGTTGGCTTAAGATTTGTGACGTTTGAGTATATGAATGTGTTGTTTTTGTGGATGATGTCCTGTAAGTCCCCCCTGAAGTGTGAATGTAAGCACTGGTTCTCGCAGTGTTTTGCTGAAATCACATGGATCGTCTTGAGGAAAGTTTCTCATCAGATGTGCTGGAGTGTGTCTGATGCTCTCTGTGATTTCATCGATGTTTCGTGGTTTTGATTGTCCTGTACTAGCAGAGATGCTGTTGTAGGGCAGAAGGCCTTTAATGGTCACTTAAAACAATCAGAGCGGGCTGTTCATGCGCTTGGTGGATAAACAGCTCCCTCTTTTCTCTAATGTTTGGCAGCTGATTACAGAGCAGGAAAGAAAGACAAAACAGGAGACCAGTGTGAAAACACACCTGATTAGGGTGATGATTTGTAAATAATCAAACAAGACCAGCCCTTAAAGACAATAGGCATTATAGTGATTTTGCCACAGTGTTTGGGGTTTCAGGAGCTCTACTTCATATTGTTACAAACAACAGTTTTTACTAAGGTGAAATCAAAAGTGGTGGGGACGTAACAGCAGACAACACCCCAATAATTCTGCATTTATGATTGACTTTTGACCACAGTTTCATGTCATCTTTATGTATAGCTACGGTAGCCAACATACTCATAATTCATAAAGAAAACTTTAGCATATTCATTAGACAATAATTACACAACATTACAGCTGCATCAGAGCGCTGGGTGTTTTAATCATGTACAGTACATCATTTTATATTAAAAATGAATGAATCGGACCGATGATGATTCTGACAGTAATCTCTACCGTTGCTATAGTAACGAACACAACCTTCTGATAAACATCTGATTTTGATCTGATAAACCACGCGCTCTTATTTCAGTGTTGTTTTGTAGTTTGTGGATATTTCAGCAACAGTTTGCTTTGTACATTCAGTTTAACAACATAAAGTGGGTAAAATAAAGAGGGTAAACTTTATCATTCAACTGAACTGTACAAATATGTTTTAAACACTTTTGTAAGTGTCTTTTCTTTCTGTTTTAAATGTTTTCTTTGAATGGTTTGACTAAGAGTATATAGGAAAATATAACTTAATTGCGTTTCTTGCAAGCTAAATTTCACACACATAAACACAAATCTGGCTCTAAACCTCTCTTTTTTTTATTCAAAGTTGTTTTAGATGAGTATATGGGAACTATCCAAAGCTCTGTTCATCCTAAAGCTGTAAAAACGGCATCTCTATATTCATATGAGTCCTCTTAAAGTTGTGAATTTATTAATTTTTTCTTTCTTTTTTTGTATTAACCTGGCAACACATCCCTTTTGAAAATATAAC